GATAATCACTTTTCTGAATCCAAGTGTCTATCTATCCACTTATCTATGACAGTTCATATTTAAAATAAAATTAATTATAATAATATTAGTCTAAAAGTTCCTTAGATAATCACTTTTCTGAATCCAAGTGTCTATCTATCCACTTATCTATGACAGTAAATATTTAAAATAAAATTAATTCAGTAAAACAGTGAACATTGAAGAATGATAAATTACTGTAAAATTAAGTGTGACAGCTTCTCTGGCCTCTGCACCATTTCTAGACTTGCCATCTAAAGAGTTTTCTTCCCCTTTCATGTCAGGCAGTTTTAAGACAGAGCTGATATGATAACCATAATTATGTCTTAGGAGAGAAATTAGATCAAGAAATTACTGGCTGCTTCCAGTTGATGTAGAGAAGGGCCACACTTCCTTCTGAAATCTCTTAAAAAAATTTATGATGCTTCTGCTCCTGTTTTCTCCCAGGCAAACAAGATATTCCCTGAGCCCCTCTAAACAGCCAAGGGAAAATTGTACAAACATATCCATGGTCACATAGAAACCACCCTGTCCTCTCACATTCTCTCACTGCCTAGAATGCTGAAGGGTGCATGAGTTGGAAAGAAATCACAGATTTAAGGACAATTCTTGATGGGGCAAGATACTGGTGGCTTGGGTAGGGACAAATTCACTACATTGGCTGAGCTGACAGGTAATTTCAGAGCTTTATGCTTGATCCTTTCTGTCTACTGGTGTTCCCTGGACTTTTCCATTGTGTCTAACCTTCTCTGACCTCCACGTGGAAAGGCTCCTGGGTGTTTATTGTTCTCTCTGAGTGGCTGGGCAGCTCCTCATGGGCACTGGCTGCTGACTAACAGAAACGGTCATGGTTGCAATTGCTAAGCTTATCTTGTTGGTGGTGCTTTCTGGGCTGTCGGGGGATTACTGGAGATAGGAATGATGCGCCTTGTGGGTTCATGACTCAAAGAAACAGTAAGCGGGGCTGGAATCCTAGAAGAACATGTATAATAGAAGAAGGAGAGAAACTAAGACGGAGAAATGGGTTTTGCAAAAGATTAACCTTAAACTATGAAATCCTGTAGTCGGTGCATTTGGTTCTGAAAGTTCAACATAGGCTTATCAAACAGGAATATTGTTTACATAGTTTTCCAAGCCTTTTTCAATAATTATATTGAATATTTGAACATACCTTTGAAACATCTCTCCCCACAAAAAGAGTTTTCATCTAAATCAAATAGAAGTGAGCTGGAACTCAAACCAATGTTTACTAAAGAGTGGGAAAATGGATAATCCCAAGTAAACACCATTAAATGAGCAGAAACTTCCCAAAGATGATAGTTGGCAAAACTGTGTCAAATCGCTCAAAAACTTCTAAATTTGAATTGTGCCAAAAACAAAACATAACAAAGCACAACATAAAATTTCAACTAGAAGGAAAAGCATTTCCCCCAGACAGCTGTACTGTCACAGGCACACATGTGACTGCATTGCTCAAGCCTCCTACTCTCCCACTTTGGCTATTCTGGATGATGGTTTATCTCCCCCCGCCCCCCTGTTTCACCACCAAAATGTGTGCTGCCCCGCAGCTGTCTCCGTCAGATAATAAATAAGCCATCCAGGGTTACCTTCTTTCTTCCTCTTTCTTAAAAGATGTGTCTGCCTTTCTCATGACTTCATCACTTCCCAGTCTCCCAGAGCAGCCCAGCTGGGAAAGCGTTGGAAAGATCCAGTAGCCAATGATTGGACAGACCTGCCTAAGTGTGCCTGGTCCACATGTCCTAATTCCTCTCCTGCTTCTCTATCTTCTCTCCAGGGTGAAATGGGTCCAAAGGGTGAGCCTGGGATAGCAGGACACCGAGGACCCACAGGAAGACCAGGAAAACGAGGCAAGCAGGTAAGGATCCCAGAACCTCCTGACCTGGGGGTGCGGGGAGCAGCACCCAGGTGGGGTCAGTCAGAGCTATTCCATAGACCCAGACGCCAGCGCCCTCTGGGCTGTTGGACAGAACCAGCACCACTTCCAGAAGCTGCTGGCATCTCTAGGCTAGCCATAGTTTGAGGCAGATAGGACAGGATGCTCCATTAAGACTGTGCCCAAGGCCAGATGCAAGAGTGGATAAGAACAAGTCTATGTTAACTCCAGCAGCTGGGAATGGAAGCCAGATGTGGTCATTTACCCAGAAAATCTGCTTTTTGCCTCAATGTCCCAGACACAAATGGGGGATTGAAGAAGAGCCCAGATAGTAGTTCCCTGCTGTTGAAGGGTCTTCTGGGTCTCAACAGCAGGGTGGTTTTTTCCCCACTCAGGCCCCCAACTTATAAGTGACCTTTTCTATTGGATTTATTAAGGGTTTAGGGAAATTGTTCGTTCTGAACTCCTGCTGGTCAGCAGGCTCTGTGTTAAGCCTGGTGATGGGACAGGGGGAGGAGCGAGGAAGATGCATTTGCCTTGGCTGGCTCGAGGGCTGTGTTGGGTGCCTTGGAGAAATGTCCAGACTTCTCCCTAATGAACAGGCGCTCCTGAGAGAAGATGTGTCCCTTTACTGTTTTAGTTGTCAGTTTGTTGACTTTTTACCTCCCTTCCTATTATAAATGTAATATACAATCATCACAGAGAACTTGGAAACTTCAGAAATATAGGGAGGAAATCATCTAAAGACCTAATATCCGGGCATAATCACTGTTGGTGGTTATAGTGTCATTTTGGTATATTTCCTTCCAGTATTATTTATTTTATACTTTCTAGTTGTTTGGGTTTTTTTACATGCATTACATTATTATTGGATCCTAAATTTTTAAATTAATACCACAATATGCACATTTTTGCTTATTACTGTAAGACATTAATTAAGAGTTTTTAAACATCTTTTTTAAATGTCTGCATCTCATTTTAGCAAATGAGTAAATAATAGATTGCTTAGACAAGAGATGCCTAACCAAATTACATATAAGGCTGAGAGGTGATCATCTTTCTATACAAAGCTTTTTCTATTCTTTTAATTATTTCCTTAGGCTAGATCTGTGGTCTTCAAACTCTATCTTACATCAGACTCACCTGGGGGGTTGATTAACTACAGATGTACAGCTCTCCCACACCTGGTGCAATGGCCATAGTTCCAGGTGTGCCTCTCATTGTCCCAATGACTGACATAGTTGCCCTGGAATGGGCCTTCAGCATGGTGTTTTTAAAAGCTGTCCATGTGATTCTAATGTGTAGTCAGGGTTCAGAACCACAGTAACATGGCAAAGCCAATTCTGGTCTTTTCCAAGTAAATGTAGAAATTACATAGGCTCCAACCTGGGTAATTCAGACTGCACACTAACTTTTGAAGTCATAATATTCCAGCCCAGTTTTCAAAGTTTTACAATAGGTAGCATGGTCATGGCTTCACAATGACGCCACAGATAGCAATTTCCTCCACACTGGGCTCAGAAAAGGAAGAAAAAAATGGGGCAGGGAAGAATCTTTTCTTTATCACTATCTCCCCTGCTGATGACTTCCATCTAGAATATTTTATGCTTGGGGTTCAAAAAGCCTATTGGCTTCTGTCCTTTAGTACTTTTCTTGGGCAGTGTTTGTCTTTTTCTGGTGACAGCCAAAGCCAAAAAACCTATTTCGTGACCCTGCTGACATTGATTCAGTTGCAGTAGTTTTAAAAACTACACCAAAACCACACCTCGGAGCTCAAAGAAGTTAGGAAAGTTAGCTCAAGCTTTCTACAAGATGTTATAAACAACCTGAATGTGCTCCAAATCCTCGTGTCCTTCCAGTCACTCTGGAATAGCTGTCTGACTAGAAGAGACAGCTCTTTGCATGGTCAGCCTTGGAAGCCAGCCATGGTACTCTCTTTTTATCATGAATTAATTTCCTAGTGTAGAGTCTTATATACCCAGTGTCTGTTAGGCCAGTGGTGCTGAGTTTCTGGAGGTTATTGTAAGTCAATCCAAAACCAGGAATCAGAAATCCAGAAGGGATTTCAGAATAGAATTTTGAAGCCAGAAGGATTTTAGAGGCCACTTAATCCAATCTCCTCAGTTTATTCGCAAGGAGGCTGAGGGCCAGGGAGGTGGAGTTGATTGCCCAAGACCCCTCAGCTAAGCCAGCTTCAAAGCCAGGGCAAGAAATCGGAGAGTCGAGCCCAGCTTTTCCCCACATCACTTCTCTCAATCGCCTTCATGTTTGAGGACTTGCCTTTGGGCAGGCCCAGGAAAGCAGCTGTGGACTTCATTATAAAACCTTGAGTTTATGGAGACAGAGCAACTTCCTTAAGAGAGACCACCCAACTTCATGAAAAATAAGGAGTAAAGAATACCTTTCCAGGAAAGACATGGGTCATTCTGAGCAGATGACCGATAAGCGGAATATTCCATTACTGCTGGTGTTAGAACTGAGGAACATTTCCAGCTCCTTCAAGCTTTGGCACTTCCTGTGCTCAGAGCCAGCTGACATGGCTGTTAGAAAAACAAGCCTTAACTGTGGCTATATTAAGACGGTGTGACTTCCTTTGCCATTCTGGGACCCATCTTGGTTACTGCATGGAATGCTTCAGCTTGGGCTAAGGCTTAAGAACTCCCTCCATAAGGATGGAATTGGAAATAAAGTCTGACCTCACGGGTCCCGTATTAAGAATTTAAGAGCTCCTTGGACATTACCGAGAGGGCCCCCAGGGCAATGTTGACAAGGTGGCAGGTCACATGTCATCATTGTGACTGGAAAGGAGTCCCCGCATGCCCGCTTCCCAGACTTGGGGAAGATTATGTTTCATCAGGTGGGCAAGCCTGCCAAGGCACAAGTATAGTAAGGAGAGCCAGGCCAAAGATGTCAGCATCAATCACTGCCCTGATTAGGCCTGGGGGAAGAGCCCACAGCATGTGCCAGCCTGGGTTTCTGGGGTCTCTCCCAAAGGCAGCCTTGAGGGGGAACCGAGAGCCTGACCTGTGCTGCTGAAGCCCCAGAGCAGGCAGCAAAGAGGACACTCCATGTGGAATGGCTGTAGCCACAGATGTCCTTCTCTTTAAGAAAGCGGCACTTCTTCAGGATTTTTCTTTTGAGAGACAGGGTCTTGCCCTTTTGCCCAAGCTGGAGTTCAGTGGCATGATCATAGCTCACTATGACCTCAAACTTCTGGACTCAAGCGATCTTCCTGCCACAGCCTCCCGAGTAACTGGGACTACAGGCATGTGCCACCACACTTGGCTAATTTTGTATTTTTTGGTAGAGATTGGGTCTTGCTATGTTGCTCAGGCTGGTCTCGAACTCCTGGCCTCAAGCCATCCTCCTGCCTCGGCCTCTCGAAGTGCTTGGCTTACAGGCGTGAGCCACTGCACCTGGCCAGGACTTCTTTAACCGTGTGAAACAGATGAAACCAGGCTAGTTGCTACGACAATTGGCTTGCCCCACATAGCCCTTTGTTCTAGGCAAACATTTTCATCTTTGAGATCTTTGTTAGTCTCACAATAAACCTCTGTGGGCGTATATTTACCATTTTGCAGATGACAAAACTGAGGCACAGAGCAATGACATGAGTTATCCAGGGTCTCATAGTCAAGGTGAAAATTCTACATTTACAGGTCAGAAAAGTTGCCTCCCCTTTGTGTTTTCAGTGTTTCTCTTCTCCCTCATTTCCTCTGGGGAAGGGAGGTGAAAAGACAGATTCAAGCCCACAGGGAGCTTATGTCTCAGGGGGAGACATTGATGAAATTGCCACACAGATAATCTATATGCTCTGACCTGGGATAAATGCCATGAAGGAAAAGGGCCAAGGTATGAAAGCCCAGGGTGGGGAGAACTGATTCAGTCTGAGAAGGTCAGGGAAGGCTTTGCCATGAGGACATTTGAACTAAGAGTCAGAGGGCGGGCGGCAGTTAACTAAGCAGGGGGGAGGAGGACGAGTTTGGGGCAGAGAGAAGGGTCTTGAGAAGGGGAGTAGCAGGCATGGTGCTCTTGAAGACCAAAAAGACCAAAATGAGTCTGGAAAGCCCGGCCATGCAGGGCATCATAGACTGAAGTAAGGAGCGATGTCTTTCTCTCAGGAGCAACAGGAAGCCGTTGAATGGGAACAGCTCTCTTGGTGAATAAAAGTGGTCCTGTCGAGCAGGCAGAGGCCTGAGTTCTAGGCCCCACTCTGCCACATCGATGCTAGGTGACTCACATTAAATGCTGCTCTTTTTTGAGCCTCAGTTTCCTCATCTGCCCAGGGCAGGGCATGGATTCGATTGATTCCTTTCAGCTGTCATGTGTCATATTTTTAGGACAGAGCAAGAACTAAGGTCTGCAAACTTGTAACCATCACTATGTCGACTGTCACTTGCCCTGAGCTTTTTAGGAGCTTGGTGGTCAAGACCTGTGGGGCTGCATCCTGCCCTGGGCTCTTGCCCCTAAGCGCAAGGTGGTCCCTGATTTATAGACAAATGGAGAAGGAAGTTTGCTATGTCATGCCATCATAACGGGTTCTGCCCTTCTCTCGGTCAGGGACAGAAGGGAGACAGTGGAGCTATGGGCCCACCCGGCAAGCCTGGGTCTTCTGGTCCACCTGGCCGTCCAGGCCCCCCAGGACCCCCGGGTCCCGCGTCTGCAGGTAAGAGCTACCCTGCTTCACTTGATGTCCTGTCACACTCCTGGCCGGCTTCTGCAGAGACGGCACAAGGAGATGCCAGCAGAGCTCTGCCTTGTGTTTCAAGTTTTTACAAACTGCCAGAGGCATTTTAATTTCTTTATACTTTCTCTACAATTTAGCTCATTCAACTTTTATACAAGAGAGGTAAATGCTGTTCTGGATTTATTTTAGCATTTTGGAGAACAAATAGGGAAAAGAAAAAGAAAAAAAGTGGCATCGATGATGTCATTTATACTTTAAGTGAAAAACAACAGGCACATATTTCATCAACTAACATCCTTTTCTAGAAAAACATGTTTCATGCCTCCAAACAATTCTCTTAAACCTAGAAGTAAAGATGACATTTGCAGATTTTTCTATCTTACAATGTTATGAAAGAGTCCTTATTTGTGTGCATTGAATATAGAAAGAAATTCCTTAAAAAATAAAAATTCTGCAATGGAAGAGGGCATGGGTACGCCGCTACCTTGTTTCACCTTGTCTGGTTTGATTAGGGAAGCCCTTTAACCAGTTCCCTTGTCAGCTCCTCGCAAGGCCTTTCGCAGTACAGCATCTGAATAAAGACGGCATCTCTAGGTCCAAGAAGACTGTTTGCTCACTGCGCAGGATTTTCTGCCCTCAGTTGTGCAGAAGGAAACAAACACTTTTTATTCCAACTTTTTAAAACAATGAAGAAATTTTAAAATTCCATAATTTACTTTTCCCCCCATGTTTATGAGAATATATTTTCAGCGACATCACAGGATGGGCAAGAAATGTCATATTTTGTCTAAACCAAATTAAAGCTGACTCTGAGAGTGCAGCCTCCCAGGATGGCAGGAAAATTCCATCTCAGGCATTATTGGAGTTCTCACCACTCCTCCAACTGCTGCAAAAGGGTTGGACAAAGATCCTGGTGAATTATGACAGAAAAATGTCAGGGAAGGTCCCTCCAGCCTTTGTTCTACCCTGTTGTCCAGGTCCTGTGGTCCATGGATACTTGGTGTCCTCATGCCATGAGTGGTTATTGGAATGCTTCCAAGGCTAGGGATCTTGGTCCCTACAATTCAGCTTCCCAAGGAGCACCCACAGCCATTCTTTCTGAGACCTTGTCTCTCCCTCAGGGGACGAGGGTCCTTATCCTCTTCATGTCTGGGGAAATCTCTCGTCTTCCACCCCCCGGCCCCCTCCCTCCCCATCCTCCTCGTATACCAACATCCAATTAGGAGCTGTGCCCTCCTGAGAACAGAAGGCAGAAAGGCAACTTTGTCTTCAGATAGTGCCTGCTTTTAGCAAGGACAAGAAAGCAGAGAGTCTCGCTACGTTTTTGAAATTGGGAGAGGAGGAAATACTGGGAGAACACACGTCAATTCATATGGTAATAACTTATCTTGCCACACCCTCCATGTTGGTAAGAGAACTAGATTTGAGATGCAGCCCAGGCCACATGTCCACACTCCATAATCTGTTTCTGTGCGAGTTGGCTGGATGACCTAGGTACGGTCCTTTCAACTAGGCCTCGTCCTCCTTGGTTCTGGCATGCATGACATCCCCCTGGAGGCCCATGACTGTGAACTGCAAACCCAGAGGAGGAGCACCTGGCCTGAAGCCTGAGTTTTGCCTTTGGAAGGGACTCTCTTGGGCCCTTGGGGTGCTTAGGTGCTCGAGAAACTGAGGAATAGTGCAGAGGCATGGGGCAGGTGGATGCATAGAGAGGTTCTTTGCAGACTGAGACCTTAATGGTCTCACTGTGTTGAAGCGACGAAGGCCAGCCCTCATCTGACTAGAACTCTGCTTCCCTCCTGGGGCCAGGGGTTGCATGAGAAGGGCGGGGCCCAGGGCTGTCAGCAGCTCCTCAGGTGCCCAATGTTGGGTCTTGTCCGTCTTTGGTGTATTGCAATCCCATCCTTTTAGCAGTCCCAGTAGAGTCCTAGTTTCTCCCCCTGGCCTTCTGGCTCCTTCTCTTCTGCCCAGTATGCCCACCTCCCTTTCGCCTCCAACACCCCACCCTCTGCCAGACCCTGGCCTCACTGCCCTCTGCCCTTCAGTGGACACCCTGCTTTCTGCTGAGCTGTAGCCTACTCCGGTGCTCTCTCTGGGTCCACACAGCCTGATATGGCACTCCTGTCACCCTGTGTCCACCCAACAAAAGCCTGTGCTTCCTTCAAGGCTCTCTCATCAATAAGGCCTTCCTTGGCCCATAAGAAGATAGGTCACCCTCCCTGAATCCAGGCTGCACACTGCTGTTATGTTCCCTCCAATGGTAACTGCTCTCTGCAGAGGTGTTTCATCTTCCTGCTGGGCAGCAAGTTCCTTGAGGGCAGGGTTGGCGTCTGAGTCAGCTGCACATCCTCCATGGCACTGGGGCCGAGGCTCTGGAGGAATTGTTGGGTTACAGCCAGCAGCCAGGCAGGGCGTGGGCCATCTCTGTGGACTGATGTCCCCTCCCTATGCCTTCCTTTGTGTCACTTCCTTTCTGAGAAGCCTTCCAGAGTGAGGGGGCTGAAGAGGGAAAAGAGGAAAAATGGGGCAATAATCCTGCTCTTTGGAAAAATTTTGGAGGGGTGGGAAGAGAAGGAGAGGAAGAAGTTTAAAAGAGACATCCTTGTGCCTGGGATCAGTCAGATAATTATCTGGAGTTGGGTTAGGTCCCCAAAGTGATTCCTGATGCTACTTTTGAGAGTCTGATAAAAGTCCTAAACCCACTCTCAGGACAAAATGTGTGCACCTACACCCAAGATTCTGCACACTATTTCCCAGGGTTCCAGAACCCCTGACCCAGATCCATCTGGGGGTGTCCTTCGGCTCTAGAGACCGCAGGTTAACTCCCTTGGTCTAGTCCATCCCTCCCTTTCTAGACACAAACCTTGAGCCTCAGAGAGGAGTGACTTCACAAGGTCACAGAGCTGACTGGTGGCCACTCTGGTTCAGGATCGGTCTGTGACTCCTCTGACTCCCCACCGGCCAGGCAGCCTCTGGAGGTTGTCGAGCTGGTTCCTCTGCCTTTCCCCGGATTCCCCTCTCCTGACCTGCTCCACTGAGGCAGCTGATGGAAGGGGAGGCTCCCTGGGCAAAAAGGGAGTGCTGGGTGCTCGGGCCACAGGGCGTGGTGGTGAGGCCAGGCCCACAGACGGACGAGCTCCCAGAGGCCAGGCGGGGAAGTTCAGGTTGCTGTGCCCTTCAGCCCAGCCTGGCAGAAAGCAGGGGTAACGGATGCCCTCCAACAGCTGGGAGGAAGCTGCAGGGAAACTGCAGTGGTGGCAGCAGGCTCCCTGCCACGTCCTGTCAGGAGGCCCCCTGGGGTTCTGGTGCCCAGCCCTGTGGGACCAGATGGTGCCGGGGGAGGTGGAGCGGGTGGGAGTGTTAATTACCCAAGTTACAGGGAAAGAGGGGCTGGGGGTGGGGAGGGAACAAAGGCAAATGCCTTCAGGATGTAATTTGCAATAATCGAATCACAAATTTGGCTGATGCCTTCCTGCACCCAGACGATACATAAGTGAATCAGCGAGGTACCTGGGAATTGCCGGCTTCCTGAGAGCATCAATATTCTTGGACGTTTGTCTTTTGAACGGCACAGTATTAAGCCACACGTGAATTCAAATCTCAGCCTCACCATTAATTAGCTGGCTAATGCGACAGACTCCTGACTGGCTCTGGGCCATGGTTCTGGAAGAGTTGTTGGGGTCACAAAGCCTTCTGTAAGGTTGCCCCAGTGCCACTCTCACGTTCTTGGTTACAGAGCTTTCCCACCTCAATTTCCCCAAGCGTGTAATTACCCAGACTGTTCCTAGGCTGATAGAGCATCTGACTCTTTGGCCTCTTCTGAAAATATCAGAACACAAGACTGGAGCTTGTATAAATACAGAATTGTATTTATACTTCTTGTTAGAACAAACAACCATAGCTTGGCATGAGATGGCAAACCTCCCTGTCCCTCATGCTGTCAGCATTCTGATCTTGGGCATATCTGTCAACCAGCTCAGGAAGGCTCAGGGTCTTGGGGTCTTTCTGTTGGGGTCTCCTCCAACTACAGCTATTTCTCTGGGGTGCTGGCCAGATCTCACCCCTGGGGTTAGTTCATTTCTTACCCTCTGGGATCTGGGAACTGCGTTCCCAGTTCCCGGCTGCCCCAGATGTCGTACTACCTCAATCATAAGTAGTCATACTACCCAGGGACTGGCTGGTCTCCAAATCCCTCCTTATTTTCCCAGGAGAAGGGGTCCTTACTTCTCTTTTCATTCCCCATCTTTTCTTCTCTTCCTATCCAAGGGCTCTTGCTCTAGTGCTTTTCTGCCAGCCGGAGTGTGACTTCTAGCTTTTTCCAAAGACTTTTTCTCATCAATTAGTTGTACTCATTCATTCATTCATGTGCCATGCCCTTACTATGTGCCAAGCCCTGGGGGTGAAAACAGGCACCACCCCTGTCTGCCAGAGCCAACGTTCTACTAAGAGAGATAGACCTCGATTGAATAATTTCACAATATATAGAATTACAAACCTAGACAAGTGCTGATGGGGATATAGTTCGGGAGTAGAGCATTTGACTGCAGAGATAAGTGCTGGGAAGGAAAGGGATAGGGAACCATGAAACTGTATCTGGGGTGAACATGACAGAGCGTGAGGATTCAAAAGGGCTTTCCTCAGAGAAGTGACGTTTGAACCCAAATCAGAAAGTAGTTAGGCGGCACCTGGGAAGAAGAGGGATGGAGCATGCAGGCAGGGTGATCTGGCGGGGGAATGGCCTGTGCAAAGATCACTTCTCTAGACCAGCAATTCTCAGCCTTGGTGCACATTGGAATCATCTTGAGAGCTTTTAAAAGTATGGATCCCGGCCAGGCGCAGTGGCTCATGCCTATAATCCTAGCACTTTGGGAGGATCGCTTGAGGCCAGGAGTTCGAGACTAGCCTCAGCAAGAGCAAGACCCCGTCTCTACAAAAAATAGAAAAATTAGCTGGGCGTGGCGGCGCGTGCCTGTAGTCCCAGCTACTCAGGAGGCTGAGGCAGGAGGATCACTTGAGCCCAGGAGTTTAAGGTTGCAGTGAGCTATGACAATGCCACTGCACTCTAGCCAAAGCAACATAGCAAGACCCTGCCTAGGAAAAAAAAAAAAAAAAGTATGGTTCCCTTATGCTAAAGTGGCATGTTTAAATAAATAAATTTAATTAATTAATTAATTACATGAAAGCATGGATGTCTAGGTTCTATTCTTGGAAGACATAATGGAATTGGTCCGGGATGTGGCCTGGGTATTAGGGCCTTTAAATGTCAAGGTGAGACCTACCACCCTAGCAGTTCTCCTATATGGCCAGGGAATAAATTTTCTAATCATATTTTTTCAGTACATTTTCTGACTTTTCTCAATACCAAGGGAGAGTAAGTGGGCTGAGCATATACTAATGTTCCATTTTCTTCCTGAAGAAGTTAAAGAAGCCCACATCCAGAATTCCCCTCTAAAGGTCCTATATATAAGAAAAGCAAAATTAAAAAAAACAACAAAAGTTATCAGTCAGCGATGTGCTCATCTGCCAGAAGCCCCCTGTTAATAACGGTCTAAACAAATATGACCAGGCACAGTGGCTCAGCTCTATAATCCTAGCACTCTGGGAGGCTGAGGCAGGAGGATTGTATGAGCTCAGGAGTTCGAGACCAGCCTGAGCAAGAGTGAGACACCGTTTCTACTAAAAAATAGAAAAAATTAGCTGGGCATGGTGGTGCATGCCTGTAGTCCCAGCTGCTTGGGAGGCTGAGGCAGGAGGATCACTTGAGCCCAGGAGTTTAAGGTTGCTGTGAGCTAGGCTGACGCCACAGCAGTCTAGCCTGGGCAACAGAGTGAAACTCTGTCTCCAAAATAAATAAATAAACAAACAAATAGGGCATTGTTTTTCTCCAATAAAGAAATGCAGATGTGGACAGTAGCTGGCTTTGTTTCAGCCTCTAACTGTCACTGTCAGGCCCCAGGCCTCATGAGCCCTTGTCTTTCCTGCGCGTTGGCTTATCTTCTCATACTTGTTACTTCATGGTCACAATATGGCTGCTGCAGCACCAGATATCTTGTCTGTCTTCAAGGCAGGAAGGAGCAGGAAGCTAGGCCTCCAACCAGCTATTTTTCTTACCTTATCTCCTCCACATCTTGGATCAAGAGCATCTCTTTGAACCTCTCCCTCAGGCTTATCTTGAAATGCTGTGCACTTTAACCTTCTTTCTGTTGCAAAGGTTACTCACATCTCCTTCAGTTGCTAGGTTTTCTCTTCCTTGGCTCTAGTAACACAGCAGTCTGTTGCTTCCTAGGACAACTTGTCATGGGACCCAAAGGGGAAAGAGGATTTCCCGGGCCTCCAGGAAGATGTCTCTGTGGACCCCCTGTGAATGTGAATAACCCTTCCTACGGGGAATCCGTGTATGGGCCCAGTTCCCCGCGAGTTCCTGTGGTAAGGCTTTCTGGGAGAAGACTGGGGTGATTATCCATGAGGACCTCTCATCTGATCCTCTTAGCGCTTTGTAAAATCCTTTCAGTAAAATTGATTTTCCTCCATTACTCTGGGTAGACACTCATTGTAGGAAATTGGAAAATCAAAAGAAGAAAACCAAATTGGCCATTTGGTTGTGGGTCCCCTTTGAGGTATTTTCTTTGTCTGTTTTTAAGAATAATGTTTATATGGTTGAGATTATATTATATAAAAATGTACTCTAGGTATCTCAGTTGAAATCTTGCCATGTTTCTACACTCTATAAATATCATTTTAAACTTTTTATGATAGAAAATTTCAAATCAATATAAAAGCAGAGTAAGTAGTGTAATCAACATGTACGTACCCTTCACCCAGCTTCAGTAATTACCAACTCATGGCTAGCCTTGTTTCCTTGTTTCCTCTTTATGCCTGCCCACTACTGCCCACCCTCCCCTGGATTATTTTGAAGTAAACCCTGGACATCAATCCGCCAGAAACATCATCTGAGTGGATGCGTAGTCACTCACCCATCGTGTGGTGTGCTTGGAGTAGTTTAACCACTGCCCTGTGGTTGGATGTTGATAGGGTGCTCCCGAGCTTTTTGCTAATGTAAATAACCCCGTAATGAACAACTCTGAGCATGATAATTTTTTTAAGAATCATTTTCAGATGCTGAATTACTTGACTGTATGACATCACCTTTTAATTTAAGTTTTGGGAACATTCAAAATGTTTAAAAATGTTAAAGCACAGCAGATGTTTTAATTTCAAACTCAGACATTAGACACAGGATTGAGAAGGTTAGGAACCAGGATCTTCCTCCCCACTTCAGAAGGAATGCCAGGGTGTAGCGTGTCATCCCCCTTGCCACTGTTCACCAGGCCAGCTTTTCCCTGCCCCTGTGAAAGTGTTTTCTGGAATCCTCACCGGTGTGTGTTCTGTCAGATTTTTGTGGTCAACAACCAGGAAGAGCTCGAGAGGCTGAACACCCAAAACGCCATTGCCTTCCGCAGAGACCAGAGATCTCTGTACTTCAAGGACAGCCTTGGCTGGCTCCCCATCCAGGTACCCTCAGGCGGGCACCTCAGGACACACCCCACCTCCCCCTGCCCAGGAAAAGGCCGCATCCATTACAGGAAGGGAAGGCCACGCATCGGGCCTGAGGCGGAGCTTTCTGCCGTCTGCCTCCGTGGAAGGGCTAAGCATCCTCCTCCCACTTTTTCTGAGCAGCTTCCATGCCCTTCACCCCCAAATAGAAGCTCCTCTCTGAGCCAAGGTTCCAGGTGGTCTCCACATTCCTGCACTGCCAGGCTGCCGTCTTGATCTGACCCAGCACCACCAGCCACAGAGCTCCGGGCAACACCCTTCCCAGTCCCCCAGGAGGAAGGCAAGGGATGCCGCCCAGCAGTGCCCCCTGGACCCAGAGCGTCTGTCCCCAATGCTGACGACCTCCCTGCCTTGCGGCTGCCCAGGCACCATCCTCCAGTTAACGCTGTGTGTTTCTTTGGCCAGCTGACCCCTCTCTACCCTGTGGATTACGCTGTAGACCAGCACAGCACCTGTGGGGACGGGGTCCTGCAGCCTGGGGAGGAGTGTGACGACGGTAACAGCAATGTGGGTGACGACTGCATCAGTGAGTGAGGCCCAGCCCAGGAGGACCTGAGGCCTGAACAGCCAGTGGGGTGGGGCTTGGGGCAAGCTCTGGACACCAGCTCTGGTGGTTTGGGACCATTCTAGAGCCAGGGAGGGTGTAGCCGGGCTCCCTTGTGTCCCTGTGCCCCAATTTCAGGCCAAACGTTAACTCTTCCAGCAGCGGCGGTGGGGGGTGGCGGGGGTGGGTGTCAAGCATCCTGTCCCCATCGAGGCCTTCCTTACCCCCAAGTGTAGCCAGCAGGGCCTCCCAATCCTACTTTGTGGAAAAACCCGTGTTTCAGGAACAAGAGACAAAGGTGATGGGCTCTCCCTTTGCATGCAGGAGTGAAAGGCAAAGGGAATGAGGACTGAGGATTGGCTTTTACCAGCAGAGCTCTAGCAGCAGCGCCCTCTGCGAGGGGAGGGCGCCAGCTAGAGCTGCCGTCCTCACGGGTGCTGCCCAGCCAGGCAGGCAGCAGGCGCTGGAGGTTTGCTTTTTTGTTGTTTGTTTTAAAACCAGGTGACAAAAGCAAGAGGTGAGGTGGAAAGCATGCGCTTTAAAGTCAGGACATGATGTGAATGTGGGCTCTGAGAGCCACCATCGCACCCTGGGGCGCAGAGCAGAGGCACACTGAGTGGGCCGGGTGGTGGGCGGCTTACCGCTCTGAGCCTCGCTCCCTCGGCTGTGCAGCAGGTGTGACGTGCTGGCTGTGCGAGTCTTTACAGAGTCTGAGCTAACACTGGCGTGGGTTGTCTGGATGCAGCACGGGTCCAGCATCCGTTCACTGAGGACATTCAGAACTGGCATTTTAAGCCCATCCTCTGCAGAGCCAAGCTCGGGCTCAGGGCTGGGTGTGTATGGAGGCAAAGTCGTGGTCCTTGCCCTCAAGCAGCTCAGGGGAAGGATGACAGTGCAGAGTGATGAAGGTGCGCCCAAGGGTGGGTACAGGGGAAGATGCCGCGCTGCCCCTCAGCGACTCCAGGATGGCGACCCCTAGGAGCTGGCCTTGCCTGGAGTCCTTTCCGCCTCCGGTGCAGACACTGTCAAGTGGGAGCTCTCACAGTCAGAAGTGCCTCTGTGCCCTGTAAAATTGAGGGTGGGTTCGTGTTCCAAGACCCTCCCTGCGTGTGAGAACAGAGGTCTTTGCTGAAGATCGTGTAGCTCCCTGGGGACACAAGCCTGGGCCCCTCAGTGTCCCCTTCCCTGAAGCTCTCTGTTGACAGACAAGAGCCACCATGCCCCCTCACTGGTGCCTGATACTCCACAGTCTCCTGACGCCCCCGTGGGCCACGGGGGAGGCAGTGTCAACGTCCCAGTTTTGCAGATGAGGACATGGAGTTTCCCCATCCCTCACTAGTGAGTGGTGGGGCTGGGCCGGAGCCTGGACCTCCTTATTCTTGTTCCGCAGCACGTGGGTGTGGGACCTAGGGCCTGCGGGGCAGTCCCCGGGGGAGGCTGAAGCTTAACAGAGGTCGGTTCTTCAAGGGGCGCAGTGCTCTAGGTGAATCCTTTGGGCAACATGGTCCTTGCAGGCTGAGGCAAGCCCGTCCCACCCCTGCCCCTTCTCAGGCTGTGCTTCCTTGTGTCCCCTCAGGCTGTCACCGGGCCTACTGTGGAGACGGTCACCGGCATGAGGGTGTGGAAGACTGTGACGGCTCCGACTTTGGCCACCTCACGTGTGAGACCTATCTGCCTGGGTAGGGATGACCCCATGTGGTATTATGACACCCCTCCCTCCTCCCTCCTCCCACGCCCCTACCTGCCCCCCCTTTCCTTCTTTCCTTCACAGATACTTTTGAGTGCCGCTCCCGTCCCTGGTACTTTCTAGACACTGAGGAACAGTGACAAATGACACAATATGTACTCCCCGCCCAGCTGGAGCTTCTGCTGAGGGGGGAGACAGGCAGTAATCACACACTCACGTGGCCCCCTCAGTCAGCACAGCCTGAGGGCCACTGAGGCTGAGCTGGGGCACCGTAGCCACCGCTCCCACCCGGGCCCAGAGGGGAGCAGTAGCCTGAGCTCCACTCTTGGCTGTGGGACGCACAGCCCCCGTGCCCCACGGTTACATCAGCTTCCTGGGCTGTGGGCCTGGGAGGGAAGCCCAGTGGGGGGCAGAGGAATCAGGGCTTTCAATGAATCCACGTGTCTATGTGACCAGCCTCCTCTGGAACACCCTGTCTACCCCTCGGGCATGCCTGTGGCTGCAAGTGAGATCATACCCACTATAACATCTCATTTTGCTGGCTTGTGGCCCCTCTAAGAAGATATTCCCTCCAAGAACCTCTTGGTTATTTTCTAGAATCCTCAGTGGGTGTTCGCGTTACACAGGACAAGTCTTCTCATGTCCTGGCCTCCTTCCAAGCCAACTGAGGGCCACCGCCCCATGAGGTGCTGCCTCCATGCCCAGCGTGTGGCCTTCTGGGCTTGGTTCACATTCCCCCTAATGCTCACAGACCAGAGTTATATAACGTTCTTGGGAAAAGGGGGGACTGCTCCCTCACAGCCAGTCCCTGTCCTGCTCTTCCCCTGGTTCCAGAGTGGATGTGCTGGCCCCTCAGGCCTCTTTTTTTTTTTTTTTTTGAGACAGGGTCTCACTCTGTGGCCCCAGCTAGAATGCAGTGGTGTCATCATAGCTCACTGCAACCTCCAACTCTTGGGCTCAAGTGATCCTCCTGCCCCAGCCTCCCAAGTAGCCGGGACTACAGGAAAGCACCACTGTATTTCTAGAGCTCAGTAGTCACATCTGGCCAGTGGCTGCACAGACACGGAGCATTTGCATCAGTACGGTGTGCTCTAATCGACAGCACCAGAACCTTTCAGGCCTTGAGCAGGGGGTGGTTCTCTGGTCAATGTGCTGTTGAGAGCAGGGCTGCCAACTCCTTCCACTCAGATCCCTCAGCTGGGGCTCAAGGCAAAACACTCAGAGACCTGACTCAACTCCCCCAAGCCCCTCACCCCAAATGAGAAGGAGAGAAGTTTTCATAGAACCCTTGGCCCTTGGCGAGGCGGCAGCCATGGCAGTTGGAGGAAGGTTGGCTGAGAATCCGCAGAGGTGGCCTCTCAGGACGTGTCTTTACCTCCCTAGGTCGTATGGAGACCTGCGGTGCACCCAGTACTGCTACATCGACTCCACGCCCTGCCGCTACTTCACATGAGGGCCAAAAAGCGTGGAGAAGGTGGGCTGCGCCCCGTGTCACCGGCAGCAGCGTCTTCACCGTACCAAACTGGCCTTCGCGCTGTCCTGGTCCAGTCTCCACCAACCTTTGTGAGACAAAAACAAACTTCCGCTGCTAAGACGTGCTTTTAACTCAGTCTGAATGGAAGAATTTTAGGACCACTGCATCCTGTCTTACTCCAAAGGACCAGAAAACCTTCCACATGCCCAACCTGGGAACTGTCCCCCATCACTGCCATGCGGCCTGACAGCCGCTACAATGCCCTTCCTCTTCCGGAAAGTGGCTGACCCACGCTGTGGACTTGGCTTAGCACTGTTAGACACCCATAGGCCTCTGGGGCCGTCAGTTTGTTTCGATCTCTCATCTGGGGAGTCTGGAGTCCAGGCCTCCCGCCCCTCTGACCTCTGGGCGCGCAGGCACGCTCGCTGGGGGCAGCCGGCCGTCGGGTGTCCCAAGGCCTGTGAACCACAAAGCAGGGAGGTGGGCACGTTCTCTCGGTGTGGCTCAGACAGCTTGGGACCCGCCAAGGGACCCCTCGGCTGGCCACAGCCTGGCCCAGACTCAAGTGGATGTGGCTCCCCCAGGAAGAGACTTAACTGTGAAAAAGTACCGAGAAACCCACCAGACCTGTGCCCTCCAGCTGAGGGCGGAGGCTCGGCAGCCGCTTGCCACCGAGCAGTGGCAGAGCCGCGGCCCCTCTTCGCCCGGCTGCCCAGAGGGCGGCTCTTGCGCTTTCAAAATCCCTGGCAGCATCTTGACCTCGTGGCGCTCTCTGCTCTTTGACCTCTGTCTTGCGAATGTCCCTCATGTCCCTTTCCCGTCCAGGAGACTCATGGGCACAGAGTGGCCTCCGCAAGTCCACGCCTGCGCAGGCTGTTGGCTTTCCTTGGTCCTTGGGAAGACACCTCCCTGGGTTTCCCCGCCTGGCGCCCCCCGGCCGAGGACACTCTCCTGGCCCCTCTCCTCGCTTCCGCTGACGCCTGTGAGTGCCCTGTGACCCCCTTTTGTGTCTGCGTGGCGCGTAGCCCCGTCCTCACGTCTGCGTGCCTGAGCTCCTCACTCGCTCTGGGATTGTCAGTCCTGCATGTCCGCGAGCTGCCTGTCACCCCCGTCCCTCCCGCGCGGGGCCTGGCTTTATTGTGGAAACACATCTCCAAGGTGACGTCCGCCCCCACGGAAGACCTCACGTGGGATTTGCCCATTCGTTACCAGGCGGAAGGACACCCTGGAGTTCTGTACATAGCTGTTTAATGAGTCTGAGTCGTGGGGACTCAGCAGGCAGGAGCTTTGGGCCCAGCAGCCATCTGCTGGTGGTCTGTTGGTGGCCATTTCTCCCCCGGGTGACGTCAGCCCGAGGGCAGAGTCTTTAGGGGCGAGTGCATTGGCTAGTCTGGGTCCCTTAGCCCCTGCAGGTTCTGCAGAGATGTTGCTTCCGTGCTGCTTCCACCATCGCACTGCGACTTCCGGATGGGAAATCGAGAAATAAAGGCAGTTCATTTCCCCACTGTGGCTCTCTCTTCCTTGGGGCGTGGGGCCAGTGCCTCAGCATTGCTGGATAGTGAGGGGTCTGAATTCAAGTCTGCTTCCCTATCTCTGCAGAGGATTCTAGAATGTGGAAGCACTCCAGCTCCCTCAGAGACAAGGGAGGAAACTGAGGTCCAGAGATGTAGTGAGACTTGCCCAAAGTCACGAAGCTCTGTCTTGCTTGCCCAGCCCTGCCCCCAGCCTTGCGTTAGGACCCTGTCCAGGATGGAATGGAGATTCAGGACTGCCGTTGGACCTGACTGAGCAGGACCCTCTCCTGGCTCCTAAGGCTGGAAGGTGCCATTCTGGCCTTCCTCTGGCCATGACCCTCCCCACAGGGCACAGTGTCCATGGGCTTGCACACCCCGCTCCTAGACCATGCTCCAGGCACCCAGGAAGCCACAGTTCCTACCTAAGTGGTCCTGAGCCTGCTTCCAGCGCCTGCGCAGACCTCTTCCCCACATCTGTCCTCCGGAGTGTGACCTGCACACACTCAGGCCTGGGGGGGCAGGGAAAAGCTGTTTGTAGAGATCATAGATGAGACTTGGATGCGGCTGGCGTTTCCACATGGACACACATGAGGCCGCTCTCGGTGTGGGTTGGGCCGGAGGGTAAAACGGAAGAGGTCAGGCAGGGAGCTGGGCCTTGCTCTTCTAGCGCTGTCACAGGACTTCGTGGAATCCAGAATTCCAAATTCAAACCTGGCCTTCCCGTCCCTGTGAAAGTGTATTTACTGAGGTAAGCAGACAGAACGTGTTTAATTAATAGTTTTAGCCAGGAGTGGTGGTGCGTGGCTGTAGTCCCAGTTATGTGGGAGGCTAGGCGGGAGGATCACTTAAGGCCAGGGATTTGAGGCCAGCCTGGGCAACATAGTGAAACCCTCATCTCTAAAAAAAACAAAAACGAAAACCCAAAAAACAAAAATTAGTTTGTTCATTTGATTATAACGTAAATATTTAGACATTCGGTATGTGGGTGTCTGTATATGCTCTTGTCTGAAATATTAGGGGCGGGCCTGTCTCCAGCTATTTCAAGGGAGGGTTCTGAAAGGTTCGAGATACGAAAGGCTTTCAAGTCATGTGTTTTAATAACACATGTAATAATAGCGATTCTTCCCCTTTGGCATTTTGAAATAGAAAGATGAGAGATTGGGGAAGATGGGTGGCTCCCCAGCGCCCCCCTGAAATGCTGACTCTCTGCTGTAGAGTGCAGGGTCCCCAGGAACAGAAGTGGCCGTGCCGCCTGTAAGTAGGCCAGGCAGCCATGGGATAGGTATCCCAGAGCTCGTCTGTGCCAGGTAAGCGTTTCCTGAGATAATCTGCTGGTCCAGCAGGAGGCTGAGATGCTACAGTGTAGAGGGAAGAACACTGAACTGGGAGTCCAAGTACCTGTGTTCAGACTTGGTTCATCACTTCTCACAGCCTCGATTTCGTCACCTGAAAGAGCCTCTGGATAAGGGCTGAATTTTCTTCCAACCCTAACAGCTTGTGAGAATGGACTCTGCTCTCCAGCTCTGACAGCACGCGCCCTAGGAGTAGAGATGGATTCCCTCACCTACTCCCGAGGTTGTCACATGAGTGACTTAGAATATGACATCATCTTCAGAGATGCAGTTGGTCACCAAAGGAGGCTCTGCCTGTCCAGATGCTTTTGTTGGCAAGAAACAGAAAACCTAACCTGAATACTACAAGGTGATATTTATTGGTTCATATGACTTAAAAAGTCCACTGGTGGGGTGGAGATCAGGCATGGTTCAATCAAGACCCCCACTCCATTTCTCTGCTCTCCTCTTAGCTAGCAAGTCTTGCTATGAGCCTCCTTGGCCTGTTTTAGGTCACGTGCCTATTCCTGAACCAATTCCTATTTATCAGGAGAATGGCACCTGTTGATTGAATTAGAGCTGGGTTCCTGAACCCATGGTGGCAAAGGTTATACAATTACTCTTACCCTATCCCCTGGGGTTTCTCCAGAAGCACACAGGCTACGTGGGGAGGGGGTGGCTACTGGACTGAATATGGGAGAGCAAGAACAGGGAGAATGGGTGCCGGGCACACATAGTGTCCATGACAGCGGTCGTCTCTCTGGTTTTGCTTCTCCTTTCGGCCGGAATAGGTTCTGAGCACTTGGGGCAAATATTTGGGGAAACTACTGAAACTCAGAAGGTTCTTGATTGATTCTGATAGGTGCACTCAAAGAGGTTGACTTTCACAGGGTGCTGTAGGTCAAGTAAGATGTGGTGTGAAAAAGCAGGGACTGGAATCACACATCTGGATTTGAATCCTGGTTGTGCTGCTAACTCACTGTTTAATTATCCTGCATAATTTACTGAACTTCTTTTGAGTCTCTGCTTGCTCATCTATAAACTGAGAATAACAGCACCTTATTTCAAGGTTGTGGTGAATTTTAGTGATGATATGGTTAAAATTCCTGCCACCTAGAAGCTATTTAGGAAGTGTTGGATTTTATCTTTGTCATTATCATTATTTAGTGGCTCAGGCTGAATCAATCACCTCTTTGAGGACCTAGGGGTATTTTTCTCCTCTCTTTGAGGCTGGTTATGTGAATTCACTTTGGACAGCAGTTTAGACCACAGCCTTCATTGCAAAGTAGTAAAAAAGAGCAGTGGAGCCGGGAGCAGTGGTGTGTACCTATAGTCCCAGCTACTTGGGAGGTTGAGGCAGGAGGATCCTTTGAGCCCAGGAGTTTGAGGCTGCAGCGCGCTATGATCGCGACTGTGAATAGCCCCTGCACTCCAGCCTGGGGATCATAGTGAGACTCCATCTCTAAAAATAAACAAACAAAAAGAGCAGTGGTTCTCACTCTGCACAATAGCCCCTCCGATACACAGCACCAGGGCTGAATAGACTAACAAAATCAGGTTACTGACTTGTAGTAGGGAGACCAAACACCCAAAGAACGATGGGCATTTCATCAAACCAAGAAAGATAAGATTCTGATAGGGTCTGGGAAGGGATGGGGTTTTAGCAGAATGGGAATGGAGCAGTGATGAGAGGCTCAAAGGAAAGCAGGCCGTGCATAAGGGGACAACACAGGCCTGAGCAGTGCGGGGGACCAGGTCTGGATCCCTCAGGGCCTTGGAGTTAGATAAATCTGGAGTGTCGTGCCTGAAAACACCACCAGAAGTTCTCCATCTAGGTTGGAAATTGAAACTGCTTCTGTATGTCAAAGTGACTCACGAGGCCCAGATCTTCCAGGCAAGAGTGGATTATTCTATTCTTACTTACAGGATTTCAAACTGCAAAGTTTTGACAGCCTCTGACCTCAGTCACAAAGTTCTGTGGTAATTTTTTTCAGGTGGAGAGAGTCACAAAGCAAGGCTGGGGATGTCATTGGAAAGAAAGCAGTACTCACTCAAAGAAAACAGTGATTATGACACTTTGCAACTGCAGTGGTGACCTTGGGAGAAATATTGCTTTCCGGGCCGGGTGCGGTGGCTCACGCCTGTAATCCTAGCACTGTGGGAGGCTGAGGCGGGAGGATCGCTTGAGGTCAGGAGTTCGAGATCAGCCTGAGCAAGAGCGAGACCCCATCTCTACTAAAAAATAGAAAGAAATTATCTGGACAACTAAAAGTATATCAGAAAAATTAGCCAGGCATGGTGGCACATGCCTGTAGTCCCAGCTACTCAGGAGGCTGAGGCAGAAGGATCGCTTGAGCCCAGGAGTTTGAGGTTGC